GGTTTTATCTTCTAGTTCTAATCCTGGTTCTTCAATTCATGTCCAGCTCAGCTACACTGGACCTAAGAATGGATCGCAATATCAAATTTGAAATATTCTTATCTATCAGAGAGTAAATATTATGGATTCTCTTCAAGATTCTCATAGTGGCATGTGGGAAAATCTGAAGAGACAAAGTTTTATGTCCATTTGGCTAAAAGGACCACAGTTAACACAATTTCATATGCACTGAACTCTGAGTACATCCACTGGCTCCACTGATACCGAGTCAATTTCTACTAGGAGTGGGGTCAGAAGACAGTCATTTATGTAATTTTATATACGGAGTTATAAAACAATCCTTCTTGTGCTAAGGGGACAGACAAGTGGGCTGTGATCATCTGTCAAGAAGAATGGATTTTCAGGGGCAACTGCTTTATGTAAATGACCGCTACTTCCTCAAAAGCTGGTGACTGATGAATTACCACCAAATTTTTTACCTAAGTAAGGTTTAGTGTTTCATGGGGGAGGGCGAGGGGGCTCATGAATTTCTTATCTAGCTAATTTGACAGCAGAGAATATTGGAGACCAAAAGAAGATACAGCTTAGTGGCAGATCCTGCTAAGTACCAAAGATCTAGAAAGCAAAGTCTTGCACTGACAGAGAAAGTTTGAAGCAAAGGCTTGAGCTGTGTGCAGATCAGCAACTTTTGCTTTTTGACATAAAGAAACAGAGCTTTCACCTGTTTAAAATTCAGTAGACTAGCGCAGGTTGATGTTGGGTAATCTGATGGCAAGCCACACTTATGCTCCATTTCAGGGAGTGATACAGGGCTTCTTTAAATACTTCTGCTTAAGACTTGGCTGACAAAAAAAAAAAAAAAAAAAAAAAAGGTGTTCGAATGTTTACTGGATTAAATTACAGTGTGAAAAATATTAGGAGGTCTCGGTAGAGTATAAATTAAATTTTAATACATTGGAAATGAACCTATTTAATTTCTTTCTAATGAGTACTAAAATCCATATAATTCCATCTGGATTTTTATTTGTAGTATACTTGCTCCTTAATATCTAAAGAGGATACAGGAAGACTATTTGGAATGCATACTTGAAATGGTTATAAAGCACTCACAATATGGCTTTTAAAAAGGCTTCTTTGCTCATCCTGTAAGAGAGCCATTTATGGCTTGGCCTTAAGCACGAGAAAGTCCCATATATAACATTTTTAGTAGACAGGTTTTATCTTCTAGTTCTAATCCTGGTTCTTCAATTCATGTCCAGCTCAGCTACACTGGACCTAAGAATGGATCGCAATATCAAATTTGAAATATTCTTATCTATCAGAGAGTAAATATTATGGATTCTCTTCAAGATTCTCATAGTGGCATGTGGGAAAATCTGAAGAGACAAAGTTTTATGTCCATTTGGCTAAAAGGACCACAGTTAACACAATTTCATATGCACTGAACTCTGAGTACATCCACTGGCTCCACTGATACCGAGTCAATTTCTACTAGGAGTGGGGTCAGAAGACAGTCATTTATGTAATTTTATATACGGAGTTATAAAACAATCCTTCTTGTGCTAAGGGGACAGACAAGTGGGCTGTGATCATCTGTCAAGAAGAATGGATTTTCAGGGGCAACTGCTTTATGTAAATGACCGCTACTTCCTCAAAAGCTGGTGACTGATGAATTACCACCAAATTTTTTACCTAAGTAAGGTTTAGTGTTTCATGGGGGAGGGCGAGGGGGCTCATGAATTTCTTATCTAGCTAATTTGACAGCAGAGAATATTGGAGACCAAAAGAAGATACAGCTTAGTGGCAGATCCTGCTAAGTACCAAAGATCTAGAAAGCAAAGTCTTGCACTGACAGAGAAAGTTTGAAGCAAAGGCTTGAGCTGTGTGCAGATCAGCAACTTTTGCTTTTTGACATAAAGAAACAGAGCTTTCACCTGTTTAAAATTCAGTAGACTAGCGCAGGTTGATGTTGGGTAATCTGATGGCAAGCCACACTTATGCTCCATTTCAGGGAGTGATACAGGGCTTCTTTAAATACTTCTGCTTAAGACTTGGCTGACAGAAGTGGAGACAGGGAAATATTCTGGTTTCTATACAACCAAATAGCGAAGCCGAAATGCTGGAGTGAGTTATGAATCTGGATTAGATTCATCACTTCTTTTAGCCCTTTGATATCAGCAAACTCAGATCCACAAAGAATTGAGGAGATAGGGATGTAAGATTACAAGGAGCTAAAGATATAAAACAGCATACCTAGTTACAAAGTATTAACTCTTGTAAGAGGTATTCCCTAAGAGGAAATGACAAAAACACAATAATTCGGTAAATAAATCAATCAGGATCCTTTCATGGAGATGAGCCCACAGTTTAGAGATACAAATGGGTTTCATCGAAGAGTAAAGTTACTACTGAAAAGATAAACTCTTTCTCTAGTAACATGTAGTAAAATAATCTGGTGAACCAAAGGACATACAATTTACAATTTAGAGACAGAAAAACACCGTTATTCTACTTAATTAATTGTATTACTTTTAAAGCTTCAGTTTCTTTTGAGAATAGTCAGAGGTTTCCAGGGTGTTACAATCTATTCAAGCAGCCATCTTTGGAGAACTACTGGAGGTGACACAGTAGGTTTAAAACTGTAACCAAAACCACATATGCTACTCTTTGATTTCTCTAAACAATTCTAAATAAGAGGTTACAGAGTAGGACTACTTTTCTAAGCAAATGATATGGCTAATGTCCAATCAACACAGGACATGAACAGTTAATCAACTAGCAGAAGAACTTGTACTGGTACCTTTATTCTTAATCTGATTATTTTATTGTCTCCATCAGTGGGCAAAGATGGGCAGAAATACCCCTGACAATTAGTTTGGGTTAAAAAAAAGAAGTCAATGTAATAACAACTAAACATTTTGACAGCTTTAACATCACTTTAGTAGCCCAAGAGGCAAAAGACTGGTCAAAATGAACCAAACTTTAAAACCAAGAGGATCAATATAGACAGTCTACGAATTTTCTAATTGTGATTAACTCCAGTGGTTGACTAACCCAGACGATAGAGAGCTCTACAGAAGAAAAGGAGCAGTGGACTTAAGGTAAGGCAGATGGAAGTAATGAGACAGAAATAAGTAAATGAAACAAATAGGGAAAGGCAGGGGAAGGGAAGGAAGAAAGATGACACATACGGAAGGCAATGAATGTGGTAGAAAGAGCACTGGCCTTGGTTCTGGGTAAGAACTGTATGATAAAGCAATCAATTCACTTAGCTCTTCTAAACTCAGTCTCCCCTTCACACACAACACTGTGAGCCTAGAACTAAATTACCTCTATAGTACCCCCTAGCTCCAAAATGCTAAGATTTTATGGCGGGAGGCAGGGGGTAGTGGTGATGAGGGAAAGAATTCAGTGGCTGCAGTATCTAGAAGAAAGTAAACTTAAAGGTTTGCCCTGGCTTTAACAGTTGAAATGCTGATAATGGGGCAAGATCAGAGGCACACTCTAGTGCATAAGAATCACCTGGGTGTTTATTAAACACAGATGGCCGGCTGGGCCCCACTCTTGGAGTCTCTTGTGCAGGAGGTCTGGGGTGGGATTCTAGCGTTTGCATTTCTAATAAGCTCCTAAATGATGCTGAGGCTGCTGGTCTGGGACCACACTTGGAGAAACACTGTTCTAGGGAATAGGTGACAGAGGCCAAATAAACACAGTTATATGCGGAAAAAAAGTTGGCCAGATTTCTCTTATTTCTTGGTGGGGGGAGAAAACCTGACTAGGTGCAGTAAGGTGATTGATAAATAAATGCTGGATCAAACAATTTGTTTCCTCTGCTGACCAAGGCTTTGTTGTTGACCAAAGCTTAATAGATGAATACAGTTATTTAATATAATGGTTTATAATATGAATTGGGTATTAGATTTGCCAAGTTCTTCAGAACTATATATGTTTAAACATTCATGCAAAATTGAGATTATAAACTGGGAATTCTACTTATGGATCTTGAACGTCACAAAATAGTTATAATACATCATTTGGCTTTTTAAAAGAAAATCCATGCTAACACTTAACTACGTCTAATATTGATAACTTTTCCTTATAGCATGAGGTGTTTCATAAGTAAACCTTTCAGATAATGAAACTTTAAACACAAAACCTTTTTAATTTTAACCATTTTAGAAAGATATCTTTCTGAATAGAATACATGACCACAACGGAAGCTTTCCTTCATTACCCACTGTCATCATAAATACACAATGGCGTCAGTTCTCTAATGAATTGAATACACCTCCAGGGTTTGACCAGAGTCATAAGAAATCATCCACTTTGTCACTGAATAAGCCCAGAGTTCTGTACGTTTGCCATTTCTGCCATCTTGTTTATCTCAGCCCCACCCGAGCTATTAGCTGTTATTTCTCAGTTTATCTTTCTCTTAGTTGCATGTTGAATGGGCATACTTTCCCCACTTGGACCTAAGAGTGACTCCAGAGTCAGGAATATGCTTATGGGCTTTAAGATGTTATTTTTTTGAGCTGGCATTTTTGTCTGGTTGTTTATTTACTCCTAGATTTTCACGTTGTTGCTGGCAGCAGGGAAAAGGGGCACTACTATATTTTGTATATTTGGGGGATACAGTATGCTGTATCAGAGACACAGAAACACTAGGGCAAGGTTAGTATATCTAGTAAGGGAATTATAATTCTGTTCACTTACAGGGTTATATACCTTAGGTTACTTTTCCTGCCTAAACTCTAAAAACTTATCAACCTTGGAACACTATGTGAACACTCTAAACATTTCACTATCTTTGTACAACTGTGTGAAAGTAGACAGCTTTACAGAAACCAAAATTCAAATCAGCTACAAGGTAAAGAAGAAATGTAAGATGAATGTCATGATAAAAAGGAGCAAAATCTGCTATAAACTGGTAACAAGGGAATTCCTAATGTTGGTATAGTAATATTATTGCTCAAATTTATATAAAGATTGCATTTACTGACCTGGGGAATGCTGGGAAGTTGCAAGTGAGGTCATGGAATTAGAAAGGTTAAGGTTAGCAGTAATACTAAGCTGGCTCTGCACTGCAGGAGGATAAGGAGATGTGGGTGTCAGGAGGGACTCCTCACTGGTTTCTTCATCAATTCCAGGCAAATACGTGTCAATCAAGGCATCAAGAAACTTAACAATAAGCTCAGCATAGTCTGGGATTTGTGTTTGCTGTAATGGAAAATAGGACATTATTTTAGCTCTGTTCTTTTTTCTGTTTTTGTAAATCCCCCTTGAAGCCAAAAAAGATAAATTCAATTTTTCTTTTGGGCTTAATTTACTATTTTTCTTCCTTTGTACTACAGATCATTAAAAAAAGGGGGTGGAATAATATGTAGACTACCATGGGACTTACAACTGGGAATTTTTTTCAGCTAACACAGCTTCCAGATGAACCTGTGATTACTGAAGGCCACGCACAAAGACTGAATTAATTCTGAGAGAATCCAATCATCAGGAATGATGTCTAGTCGATTTTCCAAAACTGAGAAAATGAGCAGAGCATCATTCCAGCTGCCATTTAGAGATTCAACTAACTAAATACTGTGAAGGGCTCGGAGGGTTACTTACTGGCAATCAAACTACAAAAGTTCCCGCATGATATACTTATTTCTGTGACGTCAGGCCCATTTTTTAAATGACAGCCTTTGCGTATCAAGAGATATGCAGTGATAACTAAACAAAACAAAAGTAAGTACTCAATTGTTAAAATTAGAGCAAGGTTTATGCAATTCGTATTGATTTAGCACCCCTATCTCTAGAACACTGCACTAGGGGAAGAAAAAGAAGTCCTGCCTTCAAGGAACCTCAATCAATTTGGAGAGAGACCGTATACAGAGAGAATAATTAAATACACATTTATGTAGCACTATATCAACTAACGCCAATCAAAGAACAAACTGAACGGAGCAAATGAGGATACATTCAGGGATATATTCAGGGAAGAGTGACTCTAATGCAGCAGGTTGGAAGGAAAAATGTTTTCTTGAGGTAAATTTCTTTTTCATTATGTAATTTTTAAAACTGAGGTTTCACTGACATATTAACACTATATTAAGTTCAGGTCATGAGGTAGATTTTAAACATACGTACTGCTCCTTCTTAATCACAAGATACCTAAATGTGTGCATTAAGATCATCAACTACATGAGGGACCGAGGGCAGAAAGTTTACAGAGGTTTATCATACGTTTCTGAAAAGTCAAGCATAAATTTAGTTGAATTTTTTTTTTTTTTTTTTTTGTAAAAGCTAGCATATAAACATATTAAAGGTGCTGCCTCTCGGAAAGAATCTTGTGGTAGAAAACTTTTAATAAAAATAACATGTGTTTTTTGTGAATCATTCTGGTTTTCAACATATTGTCTTAAAGCAGGCACAGTAATATAAATAAAACTTTTATTTTGTCAATAGAGAAAAAGATATTTTCTTACCTTTGAAAAGGGTCCTGCAAACCGCCACAGGCCATTAAAACCAAAACCTGCAACAAATCAAATGTTACTTATAGCAAGCATGACACTCTTTCAGTCTTAACAGAAATTATATAGTTGATGATATATAAAACCCCCACACACAGTGAAAACATTTTTTTTTTAGAATGAGTGTCAAAGTAGACTAAAACTCACTGAAAATATACCCAGTATAAAACCATATTTTAGTTAAAAAGTTGTCAACCACTTATTGTACTGAACACATAATTAAAAGTCAGAAAATGGCACATTAGAGAGGTGTGAACAAGCCTATTCCTCATAAGGAATTCTTCAGCCAGTGCATCCTTTAATAGCACACGTTTGAAGTTCATCAACCATCCTCCTCCCGATACGCTTATTTACTTTGCAGGTAAGATGTTTGGTACTGTGGTGGGGATTCTTCATGGTACACCACACTTTGCACAATCCCATGGATTGGATTTAACAAATTTGGATCTTGGCACAATGACAACAGGGTGTTGATCTTAGAGTCCAACAAATTGTGCCTAAAAAAATAAAAGTCAACAGAGGAACATTTTAAAGGAAAATTAAGTGAAAATATACACTGGAAAATATTTTTCCCTATAACAGTATGATAAAAATGAAGGGTGATGAGTGCTTTTCCAGTTTTTCTCTAATGAACGTGTGTCTTTGCTTTTTTGTTTTGTCTTTTGTGTTTAAGTCATTAGGAAAATATGGTAAAAGCACCTAACTAGCACTGTCATATAACCATGCTTAACTATATATGGTGACTATTTGCTCAAGACAAGGTTGGCTTCTGTCTGCCACTCAGCATGCTTTAGGACCATCTCTTTCTGCTGATTATGGATATGTACCCAGGAGTTAAAACTAAATTTGATATTAATCAGTGTTTAATAAATGCTGAATCAGATCGAATGAGGAAAGCAAAATTAGCTTGGAGGGGGTGGAATATATGATCAAATTCAAACTTCTGAGGAAATTAACTATTTCTAACCCAGCCATACCCCATGAATAAAAATAACCAAGAGCCAAGTATGTAAAATTCTGAAATTTATAAATAAGATTAAACAAAAACAAAGAAATAATGATACTACATAGAAGGCCTAGATTAGGAATAGAGTTTCCCAAGTTTCTTTGGGTTATCTAGATTTGAACACATTGAGGCTAATATGATTTTAGCCCTTAAGAGAGAATAAAATTCATCTCCCAAATAAGAAGTCAATTTTGTTTTCACTCAGCTGTGGATTAAAAACAAAAGCTTTACTGAAAAGGAAAACAGAACAGGTATGCTGATTTAAATATAGCAATCTAACAGCTTTCTCCTAAGTGAGGAAATCAACAATGCTCATCACAATGAACAATGTAAGAAAATCACAAGATAAAAAAATGTTTTTTCTTCCCACTCTGACAAGTACAGGTTTCTGGTAACTGACTATACTGCTGAACTGAATGAACAAGCATTTTTCAGAACTCCAATGGAAAACTGATGAATTCATAAAAGTGCTAACAAAAGATCAAGATGAAAAAAAAATTAATTACAAGGGACTGAGTGAACTGAGGAGGATGATTATAATTTTTGTGACTTTCTGTTTGAATGAAAAAAAAAAAAAATGTTTTTCCCGATCGACAGGCCAAAACCAGTCCTAGGTCCCATTAAAAATCACTATCCACGTTCCCCTCTCCACAACCAGTGAACGCTACTGGGTGATACTTTCCCTAAGTTTTTATAAAACATGTGACTTCAAGACAGATACAAAAGTTAAACACAGGTGGAGATACTCACACAACAGGAAAAACTCTGGGGAAAACAACACTAGCTTCTGCTAAATATTCATAAAGAATTCGTTGATCAAACTCATCCGTGGTGTATTTCACCAGCGTAGCCTGCAAAAAGGTAAACAAAAAACATTTTATTTTGTGGCTGAATTGTTACCTGTTTCGGTGAGAAGCAGAATATGGCCTTCCTTTCATGTTTTTAATATTTAAGGGCCTTCTAAGAGTAGACTGGAAAAACCCCACAGAAAGCAAAACATATTTTACCAGAACAGTAAGAAGAAGTGCTTGGATCTTCGGATCAGTAAGTACTTCTTCATCTAAGAGAACATTTGATTCAGACACTGAAACTTTACGTAAATGTGGGTGCTGTTGTGATGAGGAAATCCTTTGAGTTTCTGTGGCAAGATATGGATTAACACAGTCAGCTAATACATTAATCAAATATAACACACCAGATACTACCTCACCTCACAGATTTTCATGCCACGTCTAAAGTTCGACAGCTTTTTAACAGACACTTGAAATATCAACATAAACATCATACAAAATTACTATTCACCTATACAGAAGTTCTGGCTAGCTGTATACAATGTTGTATATCATATGTATGATTACTTTCTACACAGGTTTCAGGACATCTGTCATTTTAAGGACTGTATAGCTCGTCTTTGTCTTTTGAAAAAGAGCAAATGTTTCTATATTTTATCCTAATGATACTAAGAAATGTCTGGAAAGCAAATATGGCTTTAATGTACTCTCCCTCCTTACTTTCAATGATCTAGATTAATGATTAACTTTGTTTCTCACCCATTTCATAATCAGTTTCTGCTACTCTCCTCATTTTGGGGGGTGTTGTGATCCCTGATTCCATTTCTTGCCTTTTAGGAGCCTTTGTGTCTGATATCAAGTGATCAAAACTTTTCCTTGTTCCTATAAACAAAAGTTACAGAATATGGAAGTTCATTAACCACAGTGTCTGTGAATAGGAATATACTAAAAAGAAAATGTTTGGGCATAAAGTGTTTAAGTTTTCACTTAAGGACCCAAAGAAAGCTCAAACGTATCCCTGGGGCAGAGTTCCTCTCCTCGCCTGTTTTTTTCCTTCTTCTCAAGGAATTTTGGCCACACAGCTGTTCTGTTTCAGGACAGGATGTGCCTTATTGGCCCAAATTAAATTGAGATTACATGCACTGCACTGGAGGTAAACCAAACTCCACCAACAAGTACAATATTTGATAATAAATAGAGAGATATGTGCTGTTTAGTAGCAAAGGTCAACTATGTCTGAACAGCCTTTTTTCAATTTAAGGCATTCTGCTGGTGCCAAGAATGAGTCATTAACCTATGAAGAATTTCTAAAAGTAGACAAAATCAAAGTTTGATTTTACTTTTTCAGGCTTTGAAAAAGGGATGTGCATGCCTCAAAGTACTAAATAATAGATACACTGGGAGATGCTTCAAAAATAGCAAGCAGTGCCGTTTCCCACTTGGCTTTGAGTTTCTCTAATCATGTATTATATCAATGTTAAATACCTTTCTCTTAAAGTAAAAGTATTGAAACTGGATTATTTGGAACTTATATATTTCTGTTCTTTATATTCCAAGAACTTCTCTTATTCTTCTTGGTACAGCTCTAAGAGCAAATGTGGAATACTTTTGACAGTATTATTTTTTAAAAGCCAGAACTGAAGCCACTATAATTACATATGACAATTGAACACTTGAGAAATTTAATGTCCTATTAACCTCAAGTTTTAATACTAATAATTATTCACAACAGTCATAAAAATCAAGGTCAAATAGTTTAACAGCCCAAAAGAATCTAGTCCGACCTCTTCATTTCCTGTACCTGTAAACTGAGGAAGCCATGAGCAGTTACGAGATTAGCCTGAAGTCGCAAGGCTAGGCATCCAGTTAGTGACCAGACGTAAAATATCAAATTTCCTAAAAACCCATTCGTGCTTTCATACTGCATGAGATCAGGACACCACTCTCTACGTTTAGTTTTCTTACTTTTCTCATTCTTCCTTTTTTACTTTACACTCTGCATTCTTCCTGGGAGATCTCCTTCCACTACCATAGCTTCAGCGGTCTAATGAACTGATCAGTTCTAAATGTGCCACTTGTCCACTTCTCTCTTCCTGAACTCCAGATGTGTGTTTTCATTTATCTCTTACATATACACGCCAAGAATCCTGAAGGGATCTCAAATATAATATCAACCAACCTATATTTACCTTGTACTATAAATATATTAGTCTTGATCTCTGTGAATGGAATCACTATCCAGCCAGTTTTTTTTTTTTTTTTCGGTACGCGGGCCTCTCACTGCTGCGGCCTCTCCCGCTGCGGAGCACAGGCTCCGGACGCACAGGCCCAGCGGCCACGGCCCACGGGCCCAGCCGCCCCGCGGCACGCGGGATCCTCCCGGACCGGGGCATGAACCCATGTCCCCCGCACCGGCAGGCGGACTCCCAACCACTGCACCACCAGGGAAGCTCTCCAGCCAGTTTTTGAAGCCAGAAATTTCTGACCTCCTCCACTGCCTTCTCCCTCCCCACCTGGCCCAAACAGCCAGGCACTAAGTCCCACACCTGATTCCTTTTCTCCATTGTCCCACTGCCCCTGCCTTAGTGCAGGCCTACACCACTTTTTGCTTGGACTGCTGTAACGATCTCTTAAATGATTCCCTTGCGAAAAAACTCTTCCTATTTCTCCATATTGTAGCCAAAAACCTTTCCTAAGAATAAAATTTTGCAACGTCTCTCCCCTACTTAAAGATCCCTGCTGGATACATGATAAGGCTAAATCTCTTAACATGGCACAAAGTCTCCCACAAACTAGTTGCAATTCCTCTCTAGCCTCACTTCGTACCCCAGTGCTTTTCCTGACTTTGCTTTATTCATGCTATTTCCCCCCTCTCTTGAATACATGCCTTCCTTATCCAGTGCCTACCGGGCAAGCATGTATTAAATTTTCAAGATCCGCTTCAAATGTTACCTCCTCTCTGTAGCTTTTCCTAATTTCCTTACTTTAGTGGCACCTGGGGATGCTGTTGCAATTGTCTGATTATAAGTCTTAGCCACCAAACTATGAGCTCCTCCAGGGCAAAGACTATAACTTTTTCGTCTACCACATGGGTTGAATGAATTCAATATTGCATTTTCTCTGAAGTTAGTTTTTCATTTACAACTTCCTTGGCATGAAAACTCAGAATCACAAAACACAAAGTAACCAGGAAACTCCTAGAACATTATTTATGGAAAAGTATAAAGAGAAAGGAACTCAAAACAAAAGATAACAGTCCTTGGGACTTCCCTAGTGGTGCAGTGGTTAAGAATCCGCCTGCCAATGCAGGGGACACGGGTTCGAGCCCTGGTCCGGGAAGATCCCACATGCTGCGGAGCAACTAAGCCCATGTGCTGCAACTACTGAAGCCCGTGCACCTAGAGCCCGTGCTCCGCAACAAGAGAAGCCACCGCAATGAGAAGCCTGTGCACAGCAACTAAGAGTAGCCCCCGTTCACCACAACTAGAGAAAGCCTGTGCACAGCAACAAAGACCCAATGCAGCCAAAAATAAATAAATAAATAAATAAATAAATAAAATAAACAAAAGATAACAGTCCTATGTGACTAGTAATAGTGATTAACATTCATGGTTTCAACTTCTCGCGTGGTTTATTGGCAGGTTATTTATTTTATACTTCTTTAGCCAAAGTTGTGTAAGAGCACCTTTGCATTCAATCTGTGGTGAGGTGGGATCAGTGGGCTCTCTCATTATTTACTTCAGTTTCTGAAAAGGGAAAAAGTGTCTCACAGCATTTCAGGTATATTTCTCATGGTCAAATGCTGATATAACCGAGCAATTTTAACTTCCAAGAACCCTATCTTCTTACAGTAATAAAAAAATACAGTAATCAAAATCTCTTACCTTTTTGCCTTTCTTTAAAAGAAAAGATGGCAAATAGTATCATTATAGCTTCACAGCATATTGATGTATTCTGTCCTCAGAGGGTAATTTTGGGAAATATATTGTTAAAGGCCCTGCATCTGAATGCTGCAAGACTCTTCCTTTTCTGTGAGTATCTAATGTCTCTCCTACTCCCATTTCCCTTCTGCCTGGCCAAGGCAGAATAAAACAAGTAGAGCCACAATATTTAGTCTAAGAATCCCCCCAAAACTGTTTCAAGATCTCATTCTCATTCCTCTATCTTAACTGATATGGCTTAACTGATCTATCAAACTCTCTCCTAACTGGCATCAAAAACTTTGCTACATCAAAAACAGGAGATTTTGATAGTCTGGAACAGCTTCAAATAATTTTCCAGGAGTGAAAGCATCTGACCATTTTTGAAAAGAATTCTAAAACTTTCTACATAATTTAGGTAAACTAACCAAGCAACTTCTTCGTGTTGGCCTGAGAAGGCTGCCCCATGTCCAAACTCATGGATTTCCTGGCTCGGGGACTGGTCTGGCCCGCAGGTGGATAGCTGGCTGCAAGGTACCCTTCAGAACCTTTGGGAGAGGACCATGGCTGACTCTCCTTTAGTGTCCTGAGAGATTAAAACAAATGAGAAGAATCAATAAACATGATGACAAATACAATCACTGCTGGCCCTTCTAATTGGCTACTATATTTCCCAATGGCAGCGATCAAGTAATTTTAAAACTGTACTTTAAAGCTCGCTTTTTAGGGTACAAACTCTTAATCTGTTCCCAGGAAATATCCACTTTCTTGCCATGACATCTTATACACAGTAGGTACTCAACAAATGCTCAACTGAACTGTACTGCATTGATTTTTTAATCAGGGAGAATCAAGTCTAAATAAGCAATTGTATCCCTGGTTTAAAAACCAAGGGGGAACACAGTCAAACTCACCTTCTCCTTTTCATAACAAAAAAGGGCATATCTCAAAGAAATATAATCATAGGAATGACCGAAGAGTAAGACTACTGAAAGCCAAGTATGCCTGGAAAGCTTTTGCATACGTTGTTAACATCTCAGCTGGAAACTGCTGGGGGCTTTTTATCAAAAAGTGGGATGTTGATAAATTTAATGATATAAGCACTACAAATACAAGATTATTTTCCCATGTTTAACACTGTACCAAAAACTTAAAGGTATCTTTGTTTAATTGAAAATATAAAAAAACTCCAAATGATGCTATTTTCATGTAATTTCTCTATGTTTTAGTGAAAAATATACCACTCAAAGCAACAAACAACAGGATATAATTCGATTATCTTAACATCTAAATCTGTGCTATAGAAAACTTCTTAGTAACTTTAGTGTGATATGAGTGAATACAATAAATGTGCTGGCATGTGTGTCGTCTTACACATCTGTATAGCTTAGTTTTCTATCATTAAGCATGTAATGTTGCTTATATTTCACATTAGGTTTTCCTGGGCCTTTTCCTGCAATCTGACACTTTCGAGATCATCTCTTTTCATTATTCAACTGATTTGTGCTTAAAAAGAGGCAAACTAATGTTAACTAATTAGCACAATTAGATTAGAAGAACTTTCCTTCAACAAACACACATAAAATACTGTACATTTATAAAATGAGTTTTGACTTACACACTCTTCCTAGGTTATCTCTAGAGTCCCTCCTGTATTACCTTCTGGATTACTCTGCCCACCTGCCTCCACTGGCATGGAATACTGAAACCTGATTGTGATTATGTGACTGTGCGAGAAGTCGTCCATTTACCTATAGCTAGGGTCACCATGATGAATGGGATATGTATCCATAGGAATATTTTCCACTGAAATATCAGTAAGAAGAAGAGACTTTCTATGTTTTAGGCTACAGCGACTTCGAACCTCCTCAGACACTGTAAGTAAAGCTAAAAGGAAAAAGAAGGAAGATTCAAAAATTTAATAAATCACAAGTGTGACTTAAATTAGGATATACTTCTTACAACCTCCTGAAGAGAATAATAGCTATTAAACATGAGAGCCTGAAGTTTAAGGATATAAAACACTTAGGACAGACTTGTTTATGTTAAATCGTTTACAGTCTGTTTTGGAAGACTGCATGTAAACATGAAACTTACAAAGAGACTCAAATAGCACCTTGTATTAGTCAAATGCTTTAATAAACACTGGACCTCAACAAACACAAAAGGTAGGCAGGGCAGGACTATAAGGTCCATTTCTTAGATAAAGAAAAATACTCTGAAATGTTAAATGATTTGCCCAAGGTCAAATAATTCAAACAAAAAAGTTGCCACACACTGAAGTCTGCTAAACTGGGAATCAGCACTTTCCAACAAACAACGATGTTCAAGAATTGTGTTATACATAAGTGCTAAGTGTTGTTGCGAGGAGAATCACAAATCAGGTAAGAGCAGATAGGGATGGTATAATGGAATGGTGGGGATGGGCAGACAGTATAGGTAAAACAAAGGGCATCAGAAATGAATATTAAAGAAGCATAAAGGCACTTCTAGGAGATGGCAAGTAGATTAGCTTAAAATAGCCCATCCATTTGGAGAGGTAATAAAAAATGAGGCCTATGAAATTAGAGAAAGAGGACAGAATCAGGAGGGCTGCTTACGGGCCCAGGATGCTAGGCTGAGGCTTTTAGATTTTATGACAGACAACAGGGAGCCATGTGGAGTCTTGAACCAAAGATGACTAAGGGAACACATTTCACATATTAATGCAAATTCTTTTATCAGGAAAAATGTTTTGGCAAAACTTTCCAAATTTTGACCAAATGCCACAGGACTGAACTGTGAGCTCTTTACCCTGCCAAGCAACCAGCGGAAGGACCCAGAGGTGTCTGTACCTTTTTCATGGTCCTTAGATATAGCTGTGGTAAGATTAATTTTGTCTATTTTGTGTTTTTACCTGCCAAGTAAGCCACGCTCTGTGTATTCACCTCAAATTTGTCACAATTTCTATGTTTATTAACCAGAGTTAGTAGTGTATGCAAAATTCTGACTGTTCTTGCAACAATGGCAGGTGAAGGATGCCTGTATCCTACAAAAAATAAAAACAAACAAGAAGTTAATTCATTCTTTCAACAAATATCTGTTGAATTCTTATTCTGTGACTAGCAACTTTGCAAGGAAAGGAAGTATGTAAGGGGGATAGCCATTTGGGAAGGTAAAATATATACGTATGTTAATAGTTAATTAATTACATATAGGATTAAGCACCAAAAATGTATGGAATAGAATAATGTTCCCTGGAACTCGAAGGTACCTCAGGGAGAGGAAAATTAGAAGATGATGGTGTTTCAGATCTTCTATTCCCTAAAGCAGCACAAGGAATTTTTAAAAACCCATTTAGTGTAGTTTGCCTTAAGATACGCTTTGAAAATAGGGTTCTATCACTTAAATTTTTTTTTTTTTTTTTTTTTTTTTTTTTGCGGTACGCGGGGCTCTCACTGCTGTGGCCTCTCCCGTTCCGGAGCACAGGCTCCGGATGCGCAGGCTCAGCGGCCATGGCTCACGGGCCCAGCCGCTCCGCGGCACGTGGGATCTTCCCGGACCGGGGCACGAACCCGTGTCCCCGGCATTGGCAGGCGGACACTCAACCACTGGGCCACCAGGGAAGCCCTTAAATTTTTTTTTTTTAATTAAAGAAAAAAGCCTTATGATATAGGGAGTATAAGCTCTCAGAGCCCAAAGAATCCGGTTGATTAGAGGGTAAGCTTGATCTCTGGACAACTTTTAATCACTAATGCTACTCCATTTAAAATAGGGGATTTGTACATTGAAAATATTTGGTATTCTTTTAGAAATACAGAATAAACAAGCATTTTATCAGCCTAGTTGCAATCCATCTTCTTGGTATCCTGTAGTAAATGTAATATCTTTTGAGCAATGCCTATTCACTTTAGAGATTGAAACTGTCAATATGTTTCGCAGAAATTTCATAAGGTGGTGAAATCAAATGTATACATTCACAATGGTAGGTGTATATATATATATATATTTGGTTAAAAACTGGGGGAACCTCTATGATCCCTCAAGCTTAACAATCATTTAAATTGATACAAAACTGCAGATTCAAGCTCTAGTTTGAGTCTCTAATTTTGGCCAGATCTAAAGCTAGCAACTCATGCCAGCTCCTTATCCCAGGCCATACTTTATACTGTTTTTGCTTCTGACTCACCCCATTTGCTGTTCCTGTTAATTGCAGTCTTGGGCCATGACTGCCCCACACTGATAAACCAAAACTAACACTCAGCAAAGTCACCAGTAGGGAGTAAAGTCAGGTGAGGGAGTGAACAAGCTGGCTCTGAGGAAGAGCTGGAGGCCGCTGCTGTAAGCAGTACAGAAATGCGGAGGTGGGAGGATGGGGCACCAGAAGGGTGAGAGTCTATGGTATGTGATAATCGGACTGATCAACAGTAAATTAGTAACAAGTTAAGAAAATCTGTGGTCAAATCTCTAACATAACATTTTCTAACATGAGTTACTCAAATAACATTTATTGATTTGCAGTCTACCTTATTTTGATAATCAAAAAGATACTTATCAATAAGTAGCATTAATTAATAAAACAGTTATTAGAAAGTTCAGTACTTAGAAATTTTATAAGAATCAACTCCTTTGCTTTTTAAAGGAAATTTGCTATGTGATGTGGAAATTAGGCTCTATTAAAATATATACTGAACAAAACATAACTCAGTAAGACATACAGTTGCGTTTAAAGTGAGACACATGAGCCAAATTATTTCAAACACTCAATCATTTCAGTTACTTCTGGCTTCTCAACACCATTTCATAAAAATATTCTGACATAAGGCCTCTACCTTTTAAGAGGTGTCCAACCAGTGCGAAGTTAAAGTTAGAGTTGAAATTGAGTCCAACAAAATGATCCATTTGTTTGCAGTGCCATTCCAGAGGATTCCGGATCGCCATGAATACTTCCTCTGGACTCTATTAAAAAATAATCATGAGATGGTTGACGGGGTCCACACAGGAAGGATCACTTATTGGTTTTTGTTTGTGTTCAACAGCTGTGACAAGGTAAATACTCCTTTCAGGTTGAGAGAAATTATTTTCAGGTGACTACAGAAAACCACAGAACATTTAAGGTACTGCAAATAAATTCGTGCAAGATAGTTAAGCATACAAATAATAAGGGGATGGAAGATAAAACAGCTTTGATTTACAATGCAAAGTAAGTGACTGTCAATTTATATCCTGGTGACTTTTTAGAAACTAAAATTATTGTTATTTTAAATAAGACCATGCACTGAACTGTAGCTGGCACTTTGCGTACTATGATGACTGGAAATTCAAGAGAATGAAGAGGGTTCATATTTACTGAGTGCCTGCTGTATACAAGTGTTAGATACATTATTGTATTGAAACCTTAAAGCAATTCTATGTAATAGGTACTAGCTCCACTTTACAGATTGACAGATTCATTCATTCATTCTTTTACTTATCAAATACTCATTATATGTTTTGATGTGCCAGGCATGGTTCTAGGCTCTGCAAGTACGTCAGTGAACTAAACAGACAAAAACTACTCGCCCTTGTGGATGTGACAGTCTAGTGTGGGAAAACAAGGAAATTGAAACTCAAAAATGCTGTGTAACTTGACCTCTAAATTAAGATTTTTAAAAAATTGGGGTATAGTTGCTTTACTGTGTTTTAGTTTCTGCTGTACAAGGAAGTGAATCAGCTATATGTATACATATATCCCCTCCCTCTTGGACCTCCCCCATCCCACCCACCTACGTCGAAACAGAGCACGGAGCTGAGGTCCCTGCACTATACAGCAGGTTCCCACCAGCTATTCGTTTTACACACGGCAGTACACATACGTCAATGTTTCCTAAAGTGTGGTACCAGGACTACCTGCTTTAAAGTCACTGATGATGCTTGTTTAAAGGTGGAAAGTACTGGGTTCCATCTCAGAATCATGAGAGGTGATAAGGACTGGGAATTTGCATTTTTTAAAAAAGAAGCCCTGTGATTTCCTTATGCACAGAGATTTTTTAAAAGCAAAAACTGAAGGTATTTAGGGTCATGTTCAGGTCTGTCTAGATTTCTATCTCAAAGAAAGAAAAGCATGAGTCTATAAAATAAATGTAGAGAGATGTTTCGAGCATTTTTTTATAATAGAAAAGATGACAAACAAATCAAATGTTCATTAATGGGCAAAGGGTTGAATAAATTGTGCTTCACGCATTCTGTAAAATACTCTGCAGCCATGAGAAAGAATTATACACACACACATACAAATGTATATATATATATACACACACACATTTATGTGTGTGTGTACATATATACATGCTTAGAAAGATGTTCACTTTATATTGTTAAATAAAAAAGTAAATTGCAGAATATCATATAAATATTACATAAAGTATTAACCTACTATATGTTCAACTTATATACATATATTTTCAGCTTTATTGAGGTATAACTGAAAAATAAAATTGTAAGATATTTAAAGTGTGCAATGTGATGATTTGAACGATGAATATATATCCTTTCACATACACGTTGTGAAAGGATTCCCTGCATTAAGTTAATAAACACATCCATCACCTCACATATTCATATCCCATCCCCATTTTTGGTGAGAACATTTAAGTTCTATTCTCTTAGCAAATTTCAATTATACACTACAGTGTTATCAACTACAGTCACCAGGTTATACAACAGATTCTCAGACCTTATTCCTCGTTCATTCTGGTGACTTTTAACAGGCTTTATTATCTCTGATTCCTCGTATCCTGGGGCACTGGAGGCAATATTAGCTTCTGCTAATGGGCTATTCTGGCAATGAAAATGCCAAGGCAGATATTCCTAGACAAACACTTCACTTACGACTATTCTTATATTCACAGAAATGGCCAATAGCTAGCTATCTCTCTGACCACCGCTGTCCCAAGACCATCCCAGAAAAGGGCAATGGGGATTAGGAAAGAGAGGTTCTAGTCCCACATCAGATGTACAAACACGAACAAGTTACTTGACTTCTTTGTTCTTTTCTATCTTGTAAAATGGAGGTCTGACCGATAAACTTCAAGGCAGCTTCTACCTCTATAATTTTGTTTCCATACTTCCCAGAACCCCAGCTGTCTTGGGTCTACATAAGACTGAAAGAATAATTTTTAGATGAGGTATCTTCACACTTAAAACCATTCTCTGGTTCTGTTTCTTTCTACTCACAAGCTCTGTTAATTTCACTTCAAGCAAATCTCTTGTTATATACACACATCTATCTTAAAACTCCTCTCTTTTCTCCTAGACTCGTCCCATTTTTTTCTCCAAAGACAAAAGGAATACAACTTCTTACTGCTATATTCCTTCCACTATCCTCTGTGAACCAAAATCCAACCGCAATCAAGGCTGATAAATGTTAAGAGGGGTGGTGATGGTATGTTTTAAAGTGGGGTTAAGCAAACAAAAAACTAGTACAATTAAGTATCCAAAAGTTTCTTTTAGACTCTCCAAATTCCTTATCTGCTTCTAATTATACTTATTTTTCATTAAGTACCATAATTCAATAAGAGTAAGCTCATTTTCAGATTATTTCTTTGTGAAGTGAAATGGGGGTGGGGAATGCTAACCTTTACCTTTGGGTTATGAAATTACAACTGAGTATACAGTGCATTGGACAGCATAGGGCCTAGCATGGTAGCTATTATTATTACTATTTTTATACCTATTCTGTTTACTAATATTGGGCAAATACTGTTTTCTGCTCTTTTTATATTAAAAACATGCAAAGTTTAAACAGTTTTTATGAGCTGGTAAGGAACTATACTCATAATAAATTGCATTACAGAAATTCATATTTAAGTTATGGACCTCTTCTGATTTTAAAAGATAACAACAAGAAAAGAGGGAGGAGCTCTAATGTGCTTGGCATTTAAGAATACCAAGTGGAAGCTTATTCACCTTGTCATTGAATATCCGGAGACTGTCTAAGGTGTGCAGGTTTTGTTCCAGAAGTGCGGTGCCCGCTGAATACAAATTGACTTCATCGAGCTGCAGCACGGCCACAGCTACCCAAAAGAGGGCTTTATGCAGAGGGGAGTCCTGGCAAGGGAGACGCGCTACAGGTTAGCAAGATGAACCACAAACAGCCTCATCAAAACACACTGCAGTACAGAACAGATCATGTTATCCCGCAAATTATGCATGTTTTCTCTTCTGGAGAAGGTAAATATATCAGTAAGCTCTTCCTCTATTCCACGTGTGTAACTAAAGACACTGTTAGCAGGCTGAGAACCTTGGCATCTCCTTTGATTGCTCCCTATTCTTGGATTCTAAAACCTGGTCACCAAGTTTTGTTGATGCTTCCAAAGTAGTCCCTTTTGCGTCTGCTTATTGCTAATGACACTGTGCCGTGCCAACCTTCTTTATTCTAAAACCTGGTCACCAATTTTGTTGATGCTTCCAAAGTAGTCCCTTTTGTGCCTGTTTATTGCTAATAACACTGTGCCATGCCAACCTTCTTTATTCTAAATGCAGATTTTTTCTGCCTCCAGTTTCTCCCTGCTCCAATCCACTGTGCACACGACCGCCAGAATGAACTTCACCCTCACAGTGAAGACGAGAGAACCATTTTGTATAAGTTAGGATTAGAATGTCTGTAGAACATATAAGTCAATACCAGGAATATACAAGTATTTATTTCTCAGTAATCTCTCTGAAATCTGGCATATCTTTGTACTCAATTCACAGAATACAACTTTAGAGTTGGAAGATAATACCACGCCATCATCTAGTCCATTTTACTCATTTTATCAATGTGGAAACAGGACGTCCAGATGTTAAATGATCTGCTTGAGGTCACAAAGCTGAGATGATCTCAGACCACCCTAAAACAGTGGCTAGTATCATCTCATTCCTTTTAAACATTACCTCCACTTAGCACCCAAACTTTTGATTATTGGGTAAACTTTACCCAGCTTTACACTTCTTCACAATAATGGTCACCAATTAATATGTCATGTATTTTAATTACTTTATTATCTAGCCACTCCTCAACTTCCACATTCACCCTAGAATGAAAGTTCCACGAAGGCAGATCATTTTATTGGCTTTGTTCAGTTATATATCTCTAGTACCTAAAACAGTACTTGGCACATAGAAGATGCTCAATTATTACTTACTGGATAAAAGAGTTAAGAATATATACCCATCTGTCCTTTAGCACTGATGAGACAACACACAAGCATTTGAGAACGTACTGCCCATACTTATTCTTCCTCTAACGTAAATACTTCAAACAACTAAATTTTAAGGCAGGAAGTTCTACTTTAACTATAGCTCTTTCTTTATAACTTCTCAATCCATCTTATTTTCTGAATTCTGAAAGAAAATAACATTTAACACTGATACCCAAAATGAATGCACTCATTTTCTACACAGTACTTACCTTATTAAGAAGTGGTTGTAATTTGGTTAGTGCTATTACTGTGGCTTCTATCAGAACTTGACTGTTGTAAGTATCAGGTCCTTTTAAGCAACTCTCAAGCGCCTTTTAGGGAAACAGAATTCTTTATTTTAATTTCATTGAAATAAAACATTAACTCCTAAGCTGAATCTCAGAATTATTTCAGGAACAATTCCTTATTTAATAAGTGTGAGAATTATTTCCAGTGCTGTGGTGATTTTGGTAGCTAGCTCAAAGCACATTTGGGTTCTTATTTTAAAATATTTCTATATTATATTCTAATATAAGAAATCAGGCATTATTATAGGTAGTTACAAATTATATAATTTTATATAAGGCTAGTCTTACCATCTAGTTAAACGCTTATAATAAAATATTAAGAGTACCTTCTACCAAAAGAAATACTTAATTTTCTTTTTAAGATATGTTCTCTAGAGAGAGGTTTCTTCACTTCAAAGAATTACAATAAAAAAATAATCAAAACCCATTTTTTAAAGATTCAATAAGCAACATACAAGATAGTTTATTAAATTCAAATTTAAATGTCCCTTAGAAAAATTCAAGATATACTTTACAACTTGGTAGCAACAAATAGTTGGGAGGAGAGGAGGAGGTACCTTGCTGAGAATACGGATAATCTGCTTTATCTGCCCATGAGACACTCGTTTGCTAATACAGCCAAAGACAACAAGAGCTCTTGGTTGCAGGGATGGATTATATTGGAATGCAAATCTGCAATTTAAAGATCCAAAAAGCTTATGAAAACCTTTGTGTTTATATATATTAAATAATTAATTAAAATATTGATTATGCAATAGTATCTATCTTTTCAACAGTACACGTACTTTTGCAACTTAAATTTATTTGGGACATACCTTTGAGCTAGTTCTGTCCACTGGTCCAGCCACTTGCATGTTGGAATATCTCTCATACATGCCTAAAAAAAAGATACTCTGAATATATTTATGTATATAAATGTTTATAGAAACATTAAAAAATGTTTATTATAATGGCACTAAATAAGTGACAAATATATTACCAATAAACACATTCCATGGGAGTGTTTTTATTTAAGCATTAAGTGCAAAACAGCAGAATAAACCAGTATTTCTTCTATACAGTACCAGTGGATTTTTAAAAATGAGCTTAGTTTCTTATCATTCTGCCTTCTATACCTCCATGATCTCCAACAAAGCTTCTGTGACCGTTTCCAAGGACGTCAATGCAAAAGTCTCCCTCTCATAGGAGCCAGGAGAGAATGACCTGTCCCGGTAGCTGGAGCGGAAGGCAATGACAGCAGCTGACTTGACTTTGCTAATGCCAAACAGCAGGTAAAATTTGGGTAATGAGAACTCTGTCAAACTGAGTCTCAAAACTTGCTTGGTCTCTTCTGTAAAAGAAAAAAGGAACAAGTAAAGACTTTAAAGATACTATTTTTTAAATTCTAAAGTGCCATATTTCATTTTGAATTTAGATAATTTGAATATCATATCAAACTTACATAACAATGCTCTCTAAACCAACCCTCTGGATACATGAGCTTAATGCTCATTACTTAACTCCCTTTATGTACAAATTTGTGCTAGTAAAGCAACACTGTCAACCGGTGCTGAGCCTTTAGCTTATGTGATAACTACCAGAGTCTACATGACACACGTGCACAGAACATCTTTGCCATGGCTTGAGATGGAATGGAAGTAATTCATTCTTTTTCTTTTTGATTTGATTATATTTCATATCGTTAACATAGGCTTGATTAAGCAGCTTGGTATTAAGGTACCGTAATAAATAATAAGGTAATCTATGCCAGTCAAGTGGTGTAAAATGGAGAAAGGAACTGGTGAAACACAAATTGCTTTCCTGGAACTTACCACTAAAATGAAGCTGAGAACAAGTACACAGAGAGTGAATGATATTAATGACCAATCCATGTGTGGAAGCTCTAAGGGAGAGTGGCCCTGTGGCTACTAAGAAAGTAACGACGTGGAAGAGGTAGGGGAGATGAGCTGCCACGTCCAGGGAATTGTTGAAGGACAGCATCAGCATGTAGCGGGCTAGAATAGCAATATCGTCCCACATAAGATGTTGCTCTAAAGTAGGAGTTGGAGATAAGCATGTCTTGTCAATTATTTTGCACATCCTTCCAATAACCTGTAAAGAAGCAGAATTTTAAAAAACATGGGAGTTAAAAAGTTTTATCACAAAAAATTTCAGTTTAAAATGACTCGTTATAAAACAAAAAACCTCCTGATAATAAAAACAGACACATCAAGCCATAGCCCAGAAGGCAAAGGAAAAGGGATTACCTTGCTTGAAACCAATTTCACATTTCCAGAAGCCAAAGCTACAGCAGTATCTGCCATCACCTCAGCTTTTATTGATCCCAAGCCACCCGTTGCACTGGTTTTGATGAAACTGTCTAGTACAACATCAAGGAGGTCTGTAATCTAGTGGAAGAGGGAAAGAAAACTTATGTTTTAGCCATTCTGCCAACTTAATTTTTAACTCAAAAATAGTTCAAGGAGTAGCCCAATCAACATGAAAATTCTATTTTACCTGAGGCCTCCAAAATACTAGGTTTTATTTAGAGACCTGTCAATAAATATAATTTATCATAAAATATCCAGGAAAGGATGAGAATATTCCCTCAATTCCTTCAGAGACTGGCATTCAAAACTTTAAAATCTCTACATATATTATTTTCACTCACTCTTTTTTTTTTTTTCACTATTTTATTTTATTTATTTATTTGGCTGCGTCGGGTCTTCGCTGCTGTGCACGGGCAGGCTTTCTCTAGTTGCGGTGAGCGGGGGCCACTCTTCGTTGCAGTGTGCGGGCTTCTCATTGCTTGTGGAGCACAGCATCTAGATGCGCAGGCTTCAGCAGTTGGGGCTGGTGGGCTCTAGAGCGCAGGCTCAGTAGTTGTGGTGCACAGGCTTAGCTGCTCCACGGCATGTGGGATCTTCCCAGACAAGGGATCGAACCCGTGTCCCCCGCATTGGCAGGCGGATTCTTAACCACTGCGCCACCAGGGAAGTCCTATTTTCACTCACTCTTAAAGCACCTCTGTTCTCTTCTAAGACAGTAATGTACGAGCAGTATAAAGTACAATTATTTTAAAATACAGGAATGACATCAAGTACTGAGATGTTTTTGTAGAGCTACAAAAATGGCTCCAAGGTCATTTAAAATTATTTGGAGGATTCACAGCACTGAGTAAGGGTATCGCCTCCTTCAATGATTATCTTGAAGAGATGGTAGCATAAATCTTGTCAGATAAAAAAGTTACATTATACTATTTTAATATTGGCATTCTTATGCTGGTACTATAAGTGAGAGCAGGTGGCCCAAATAACATCATTAGCAAACATTTACTGACACCTATGGTATATAGGGTACTAGAATACACTCTAATGCACTATTTATTAGAAACGACATCCGATTTTTACAGTTAAATTCTACATGCAGCTGTCCCTTGGTATCCTTGGAGATTAGTTCCAGGACTCCCTGCAGATACCAAATTCCCGGGATGCTCAAGTCCCTTACATAAAAAATGGCATAGAACAGTTGGCCCTCAGCACCTGTGGGTTCTACACACTGAGAATTCTGTGGGATAACTGTAATTATGCCATGGAGAAGACTGCTAGAATAATTAGTGTTTCTCTGGCTCTGAGACATGCATTAGACTTCTACAGTTCTGAAGCAGATCAAGAATTAGGTGGGTGTCTGCATGCTTTTTCAAAGAGGGGACTGTCTTTTTTACAGCTATATCCCTAGCTTAGTGCTTTGTACAACGTGGGTATCAGATAAATATCTGCACCAAGGAGGTACTAGATAAATATTTGAGCAAACTCAATACCTGCCCAAGGCTCCCCCATATTTTTGCTTGAATAGATGGATACATCTGTTTCTCGTTTATAGTCATTGTTATCAGCTTATCAAGAATCGCAGTAACTCTTTGTCTTTTGGCATCATCATTGTGCTTACAAAAACGTACTAGATTTGACAGCCATGGAGTCATGTATTCCAAACAAAGGTGTTTCAATTCAATACCTGGGGAAAAAAATACACTATTAGCACAGATGGTCCATGAAAATTACGTCAACAATTATTTTAAAATAAAAGATTGGGGGAAAAACGGTAAAAGATAAAGACCATTATATCTAGAATCAGACCTGGAGAGAAGAGACTTGGCAAATATATGACTGAAGATAGAGCTAAAGAAAGAGAACAACCCTTAAAGAAAGTAATCTTCAAAGTCATTAAGCCAATTTTTGAAAAGTTTTATTTTTCTCCCATTTAAAAAAAATAAATTTATTTTATTTTATTTTTTTGGGCTGTGTTGGGTCTTCGTTGCTGTGCGCGGGCTTTTCTCTGCTTGTGGCGAGCGGGGGCTACTCTTCGTTGCAGTGTGCGGGCTCCTCATTGCGGTGGCTTCTCTTGTGGAGCACGGGCTCTAGGCGCACAGGCCTCAGGAGTTGTGGCACGTGGGCTCAGTAGTTGTGGCGCACAGGCTTAGCTGCTCCGCGGCATGTGGGATCTTCCCAGATCAGGGCTTGAACCAGTGTCCCGTGCATTGGCAAGCAGATTCTTAACCACTGCACCACCAGGGAAGTCCTTATTTTTCTCCCTTTTAATAACTTCTAGTTAAAATTTTTCTTGCTTTATTCTAATTGTAAAAGGAATATGTGGGTAATCACAGGAAGTTTGGTAAAAGGAAAGTATCACCACAATAATGAAACCAATATCAATATATTGGTGTATCACTTGATCTCTCCATAGGCTTTCAAATCTATGCAAAGATAATGTATATTCAGGTGTGTGTATACACACACATAACCCATCCCAACTCCTTCACAAAAAATTAGGGTTACACTATATACGTAGTATGATCTGAATATTTTTTTCACTATATATTATACTGAGATTTACTCAACATTAAAAATTCTCCAAAGATATTTTATAGCTTTTTATTTTGAAATAACTTCAGACTTACAAAAAGATACAAAAATAATGCAAAACTTCCTCTATATAACTTCACCGAGAGTACCCAAAACATTTTTTAATTATGTTAAAATATATGTAACATAAAACCTGCCATTTTAAAGTTTACAGTTCAGTGGCATTAAGTACATTCACACTGTTGTGCAACCATCGCCACCATCCATCTCCAAAACTTTTTCATCTTCCCAAACTGAAATTCCATACAAAAAACGTTTTTAATGGCTTCATATTATTTCATCATATGGAGATCCAACAAAGTAGTCAGTTCTTCATTATCTACTTTTAGACTGTTTCAACTTTTTGCTATTATAAATAATATTATGTGAAGTTCAAAATAAATCTATGGCAACAGAGGTCATAATACTGGTTACTCTTGGTGAGAACAGGTACTGACTGAGAGGAGCCTTCCGGATGCTGGAAATGTCCTGTATCTTGACCTGGGAGATGGTTTTGTGGTGTATGCACATGTAAAACTTAATCAAGCTGTTCATTTAAACTTTGGGCACTTCACTGATAAGATATACCTGAATTTAAAAAACCTAAATAAAAAATAATGCTATAAGGCGCTTCCCTGGTGGCGCAATGGTTGAGAGTCCGCCTGCTGATGCAGGGGACATGGGTTCGTGCCCCCGTCCGGGAAGATCCCGCATGCCACGGAGCAGCTAGGCCCGTGAGCCATGGCCACTGAGCCTGCGCGTCTGGAGCCTGTGCTCCGCAACGGGAGAGGCCACAACAGTGAGAAGCCCAAGTACCGCAAAAAAAAAAAAAAAAAAAAAAATGCTATGATAAACATATGAATATTAATTCTTTAGGATAAATTCTAAAAAGTGGAATTATGATTCCAAAAGCTATAAACATCCATAAGGTTATTGATACCCATGTCAAAACTGCTGTCTAGAAAAGCTGCCCTGTTCACAATTCCAAAGACATTGACACTGATTTTTTTAGAAAATATCTTTGCCAATTTGATAGTTAAATATATTATCTTACTATTCTTTCAGTTTGAACCTCTTTGAAGGTGAACTCTTAAAAACTCTTAAAAACATATTCTTTCTTAGTATGACCGGCGTGTTACTGTTGATCCATTTTTCTCATTAATCTGTAAGAATTCTTCATGATAAAGATATTACTCTTTGGGGCTTCCCTGGTGGCGCAGTGGTTGAGAGTCTGCCTGCCGATCAGGGGACACGGGTCTGTGCCCCGGTCTGGGAAGATCCCACATGCCGCGGAGCGGCTGGACCCATGAGCCATGGCCGCTGAGCCTGCGTGTCCGGAGCCTGTGCCCCGCAACGGGAGAGGCCACAACGGTGAGAGGCCCGCGTACCGCAAAAAAAAAAAAAAAAAAAAAAAAAAAAGATATTACTCTTTTCTCATATCTGCTGCAAGCATACTTTTTTTTTTTAATCTACCTTTTACTTTTTTTTTTTTTAAGTAGAGATTTTGAAGTTTTACATGGCCAAAACTGTTCACCATTTCCTTTGTTTCCATCTGTAACTTTTTTGCTTCATAAGTCCTTACTTGCTCATAAAGCAACTAAATATTATCTTTCCTTTTCTTTTTTAAAGAAAAGGAAGTTTTTATATTCTTTTTTTGAATTTTATTTTTTTATACAGCAGGTTCTTATTAGTTGTCCATTTTATACATATTAGTGTATATATATCAATCCCAATCTCCCAATTCATCACACCACCACCCACCCTCCCTCTGGCACTTTCCCCCCTTGGTGTCCATACGTTTGTTCTCTACATCTGTGTCTCAATTTCTGCCCTGCAAACCGGTTCATCTGTACCATTTTTCTAGGTTCCACATATATGCATTAATATACAATATTTGTTTTTCTCTTTCTGACTTACTTCACTCTGTATAACAGTCTCTAGGTCCAACCACGTCTCTACAAATGACCCAATTTTGTTCCTTTTTATGGCTGAGTAATATTCCATTGTATATATGTACCACATCTCCTTTATCCATTTGTCTGTTGATGGGCATTTAGGTTGCTTCCATGACCTGGCTATTGTAAATGGTGTTGCAATGAACACTGGGGTGCATGTGTCTTTTTGAATTATGCTTTTCTCTGGGTATATGCCCAGTAGTGGGATTGCTGGGTCATATGGTAATTCTATTTTTAGTTTTTTAAGGAACCTCCATACTGTTCTCCATAGTGGCTGTATCAATTTACATTCCCACCAACAGTGCAAGAGGGTTCCCTTTTCTCCACACCCTCTCCAGCATTTGTTGCTTGTAGATTTTTTGATGAAGCCCGTTCTAACTGGTGTGAGGTGGTGCTTCATTGTAGTTTTGATTTGCATTTCCCTAATAATTAGTGATGCTGAGCAGCTTTTCATGTGCTTCTTGGCCATCTGTATGTCTTCTTTGGAGAAATGTCTGTTTAGGTATTCTGCCCATTTTTGGATTGGGTTGGTTGTTTTTCTAATACTGAGCTGCACGAGCTGTTTATATATTTTGGAGATTAATCCTTTGTCCGCTAATTTGTTTGCAAATATTTTCTCCCATTCTGTGGGTTGTCATTTCATCTTGTTTGTAGTTTCCTTTGCTTTGCAAAAGGTTTTAAGTTTCATTAGGTCTCATTTGTTTATTTTTGTTTTTATTTCCGTTACTCTAGGAGGTGGATCAAAAAAGATCTTGCTGTGATTTATGTCACAGAGTGTTCTTCCTCTGTTTTCCTCTAGGAGTTTTATAGTCTCTAGTCTTAACATTTAAGTCTCTAATCCATTTTGAGTTTTTGTGTATGGTATTAGGGAGTGTTCTAATTTCATTCTTTTACATGCAGCTGTCCAGTTTTCCCAGCAGCACTTATTGAAGAGGCTGTCTTTTCTCTATTGTATATTCTTGCCTCCTTTGTCATAGATTAGTTGACCACAGGTGCGTGGGTTTATCTCTGGGCTTTCTATCCTGTTCCATTGATCTATATTTCTGTTTTTGTGCCAGTACCATATTGTCTTGATTACTGTAGCTTGTAGTATAGTCTGAAATCAGGGAGTCTGATTCCTCCAGCTCCATATTTTCCCCTCAAGATTGCTTTGGCTATTAGGGGTCTTTTTGTCTCCATACAAATTTTAAGATTTTTTGTTCTAGTTCTGTAAAAGATGCCACTGGTAATTTGATAGGGATTGCATTGAATCTGTAGATTGCTTTGGATAGTATAGTCATGTTCACAATATTGATTCTTCCAATCCAAGAACATGGTATATCTCTCCATCTGTTGGTATCATCTTTAATTTCTTTCATCAGTGTCTTATAGTTTTCTGCATACAGGTCTTTCGTCTCCCTAGGTAGGTTTATTCCTAGGTATTTTATTCTTTTTGTTGCGGTGGTAAATGGGAGTGTTTCCTTAATTTCTCTTTCAGATTTTTCATCATTAGTGTATAGGAATGCAAGAGATTTCTGTGCACTAATTTTGTATCCTGCAACTTTACCAAATGCATTGATTGGCTCTAGTAGTTTTCTGGTGGCATCTTTAGGATTCTCTGTGTATAGTATCATGTCATCTGTAGTGACAGTTTTACTTCTTCTTTTCCAATCTGCATTCCTTTTATTTCTTCTTCTCTGATTGCCGTGGCTAGGACTGCCAAAACTATGCTGAATAATAGTGGTGAGAGTGGACAACCTTGTCTTGTTCCTGATCTTAGTGAAAAGGTTTCAGTTTTTCACCATTGAGGACGATGTTAGCTGTGGTTTTGTCATATATGGCCTTTATAATGTTGAGGTAGGTTCCCTCTATGCCCACTTTCTGGAGAGTTTTTATCATAAATTGGTGTTGAATTTTGTCGAAAGCTTTTTCTGCATCTATTGAGATGATCATATAGTTTTTATTCTTCAATTTGTTAATATGGTGTATCACATTGATTGATTTGCGTATACTGAAGAATCCTTGCATTCCTGGGATAAATCCCACTTGATCATGGTGTATGATCCTTTTAATGTATTGTTGGATTCTGTTTGCTAGTATTTTGCTGAGGATTTTTGCATCTCCATTCATCAGTGATGTTGGTCTGTAATTTTCTTTTTTTGTAGTATCTTTTTCTGGTTTTGGTATCAGGGTGATGGTGGCCTCATAGAATGAGTTTGGGAGTGTTCGTCCCCCCGCAGTTTTTTGTAAGAGTTTGAGAAGGATGAGTGTTAGCTCTTCTCTAAATGTTTGATAGAATTCACCTGTGAAGCCATCTGGTCCTGGACTTTTGTTTGTTGGAAGATTTTTTTTTTTTTT